CATCTCACAGCAGTTGGAATGGCTATCATGAAAAAGTCAGGAAACAACAGGTGTTGGAGAGGATGTGGAGAAATAGGAACACTTTTACATTGTTGGTGGGACTGTAAACTAGTTCAATCATTGTGGAAAACAGTGTGGTGATTCCTCAAGGATCTAGAACTAGAAATAGCATTTGACCCAGCCATCTCATTACTGGGTATATGCCAAAAGGATTATAAATCATGCTGCCATAAAGACACATGCACACATATGTTTATTGTGGCACTATTCACAATAGCAATGACTTGGAACCAACCCAAATGTCCATCAATGACAGACTGGATTAAGAAAATGTGGCACTAAATGCCCACAAGAGAAATCAGGTAAGATCTAAAACTGACACCCTAACATCACAATTAGGGTGGAATATTATGCAGCCATAAAAAAGGATGAGGGCATGTCCTTTGTAGGGACATGGATGAAGCTGGAAACCACCATTCTGAGCAAACTATCGCAAGGACAGAAAACCAAACACTGCATGTTCTCACTCATAGGTCGGAATTGAACTATGAGAACACTTGGACACAGGATGGGGAACATCACACACTGGGGCCTGTTGTGGGGTGGGGGTAGGAGGGGAGCAATAGCATTAGGAGATATTCCTAACGTAAATGACGAGTTAATGGGTGCAGCACGCCAACATGGCACATGTATATATATGTAACAAATCTGTATTTTGTGCACATGTACCCTGGAACTTAAAGTATATTAAAGAGAGAGAGAGAGAGAGAGAGAGAATGTGACCCATCACCTTCGTGTCTTAGCTATAAAGAGGGAATAATATTTCTTCTGCCACACTCTATCTTTGTAAAAGGAAGTACATGAGATGATTCACATAGAATTCCTTTAAACAAAAAATCCTATTCAAATAAAAAGATTTTTTAAATCATTTTCATAATTGTCTTGATTCTTCAAATAAATCACTTTTAGATAAACAACATTAGCCAGACATAAGACTCTTCTTACTATATCTTCTAAGTGAACAATTTGTGCAGATGTATATGATTTGTGAAGGCAAGAGGAAAAAGTATTAATCTGTATATGTAGCATCATCTTTAATATTCAAAAATACATGCAAAGACAGAAATCTAGGAAAAATGAAGTAAAATATTACCAATATTTGTCTTTGGGTAATAAAATCATGGGTGACTTTTAAGTATAGATTTTGTATTTTCTAGTTTTATATGATGATCATGCATTACTTTTTAAATCAGAAAATGCTCCAGCGGTAGTCAATATCAAGATATTGTTTGGAACATGTATATTTGCTAAGATTTCACCAAATTTTAAATGACTAATTTTAAATAGTCCTATGCAGTTCATTAGGGGCAGTTCTTATGTGAGTGAGTCCACTGGGGTAGATGGGACCATCCAAAGCCATTTCTGCACTGACATTTTGATATTAAAGATTCCTTGTTCACTTAAAGATGTTAAGATTTGGGCTTCAGTTATTCATGCAAGTCTTTAACTCTTACTATCTTTTCGCAAGGAAATATTGTTGCCACCTGCTGGCAGTCACGTATTAGTGGAATGGTTTTCTATTCCCGTGAAGTAAAATCCAACTTCCATGAAAATACAGAAACTGCACCAATCATCATAATAATGGCTAAGTTTGTTGGGTTCGTTGATTTTTTTTTCTGGTTAGGCCATGTATTATATCATTTTATTTCTCACAATATCCGTAAGTATGAACTCATTTTATGCAGGAGCACAATCAAGGCAGAGAAGTCACACTATTTCCCCAAGGCCCCAGTTAATGAACAACAGAGTTGAGATACAAATCCAGATAATGGCAACTTCTCTGCTGTGGCAGCTTGTGAAAAACAACTGTAGTAAACCTGGAGTGTGAAAGCCCTATTGATCAAAGTATTTACTGAGGATGCATAGGGAAAAAAACAATGATTGCAATGAAATGCAACTCAGACGACCTGAGATTTAGTCACCCCTCCATACTGTATTGGCTCCATTGAGACCCTAAATTGATCATCCCAAAGGGAGCCTTTCCCTTCTCAGTCCCTCACAGGGCTTTTGTGAAGATCAAATGAGACAATGAGTCTGAAAGCCCTTTGTAATTTGTTTCCTGGTTTCCAAAGATTATCTCTGAATTAAATACAATCATTAGAAATGTAAAAACCTGAACTTTATTATCTTTTTTCCTCCCTGTAGATATGTCATCTTTATGTTATGACTTAAGTCTTGCCTTTGGTTTGGCAGAATATAAATACACAAAAGCCCACTTAAATGTACTTTTTGCATCTTTAATAGTACAATATAAGGCTAGGCACGGTGGCTCATGTCTGTAATTCCAGCACTTTGGGTGGCTGAGGCAAGTGGATCACCTGAGGTCAGGAGTTCAAGACCAGCCTGGGCAACATGGTGAAATCCCGTCTCTATTAAAATACAAAAAGTAGCCAGGTGTGGTGGTGGGCACCTGTAGTCCCAGCTATTTGGGAGGCTGAGGCATGAGAATCGCTTGCGCCTGGGAAGTGGAGACTGCAGTTAGCCAAGCTTGTACCAATGCACTCCAGCCTGGGCAAGGTGATAGAGCAAGACTCTGTCTCCAAAAAAAAAAAAAAAAAAAGTAATAAAATTAAAAAA